ATTCTCAAAAAGCAAAAGAAGCCACGGAACCTGGCGTATACATTTCTGACCTTTTGTTAATAAGGGCCGGTTACTCAATATCTGGTTAACATTCATCTGCGGTCAAACATCGTTATCGACGACTACGACCCCATGCATACTACAGGGAGTCGGTAACGTCGATAACTATGTTTAACCGGAAATTAGTGTTAACCAGACATTGAGGGCCGGTTGTTCAATGTTTGATTAGCACAAATCGGAGGTAGAAGCTTCGGTCAAATACAACGACTCCTTTATCGATCACATGTTTTATGCATGATGTCGGCAACGTCGATAATGATGTTTAACCGGGAAATAGGGATAACCAGACATTGAACAACCGGCCTTAAGGGCCGTTTTCACCATCTCTGGTTAACACTAATCCTCAGTTAAACATCGTTACCGACGTTACTGACTCCATGCATGCAACGTTCTGTTAATAACGTCGGTAACGCTGTTCAACTTGAGATTAGTGTTAACCAGAGATGATGAAAACGGCCCTATAAAAAGTTTGTAGCCGGTAAATAAAGTTCCTGTCAATTTTTAAACTCTTTTTAGGGCCGGTTGTTCAATGTCTGATTAGCACAAATCGGAGGTAGAAGCTCCGGTTAAGCACAACTACTGCTTTATCGATCACATGTTACATGCATGATGTTGAAATCGTCGATAGTGTAGTGGTAGTGATAACCAGACATTGAACAACCGGCCCTTAAACTCTTTCTTGTGTACTCTTGTAACCGGTAATTTTTGTTACCATCTCATAAGCTGGTAGCAAAGTATTGCCCCGTGAAATATGCGATGCCAGAATTTGCACGTTCTTCATAGCTGAATTGCTGAATATTTTAACTGCATTACCAACATACCTAGAATCGCGGTGACAAGAACTGGTAACATTTTTGGTAATAAAATTTTCCGGTTACAAAATCATCGGTAACGTGCAGAATAGACCTGTTAACGACAGAATCCGTTAGACATGTCGATAAAGAAGTTTACGACGATTGTCGTTAATTACAAAGCCAAATATGGCAATATTGACGTTTGACACTCAGGGCCGGTTACTCAATGTCTCCATGCATATAACACGGTTTCGATAACGTCGATAACGATGTTTAACCGAAGATTAGTGATAACCAAACATTGAGTAACCGGCCGTAAATATTTAAAAGAAACTTGTTATTGTTGCGCGTATTATTGTGTCGGGATTGTTGTTTGTGTATACCATATGAAAAAAAAGAAGAGCAGGAGCTACTACGGAGCAGAACCATAGGATGCTGGACTGCTTATTTGGCAATAACGGCCTCATGCAAGGCGAATTTAATAAGGGGCTATAAGCCGTATATAAGTAAAAAATTACAAATTATACGCTCAATTACAGTATGAATTACAACAAACACATAATTATGACATTATGCCTTCCACGTCTAAAAATTCAGCTTCGGCTCTAGTTTTCGACGTAAGGGTACTTGAAAATTTGCTTAAATTTAAAGTTTTTTTTATAAATAGCTCTAACAAAGTACGTTAAAGTCATTTTACCAAACTTTTTCACGTGACTATTTTTTAATATAACCTTCACTATAAAAAATAGTCATGTTAAACATTTTATTGGAACAACACTAAAACTGATTTATTTACAAACAAGTTAAAATTGAAGCAAATGTTCAAGTATCGTTATCTCGAAAACTGGAGCCAATCTGACAAAATTTAGAATGCCCCAATTAAGTGAGATCAACTTTCAAAACCTTTGTCAATGTTTTCAACTTGCACAGTGTAATAAATAAAAGGAACAATAATAAAAAGCACATCTATATGTGATAAATTTTTATTTATTAGTTATTTTTTATTATAATAGTTTTATTATAATAGTTTGAATTTTGCCTAATTTTTTTCAATAAAAACTTAAAACAATTTTATCGGTAGGCTTTTCAACGAAAAAATATTCGTACCTAGGTTATCGACAAATTTCGTTTGACAACTGTCAAAGCTACCGACAATATTCGCTAAAAGCGTGCTTGAGAATTGCAGTTAACGAAACTTGTCGGAATCGTTATAGCATGTCTCCACCAGAGCTTAACAACGTAGTTATGGCTGTTGAGTTGGTTATCCCTATAACCCACTTGATTTAGCGTAGTTTCGCCATATAAAAATGACAGCACTTAACCATTTCACTGAGATGGTTAAAGCCCTGTATGCAGCTCTCAAGAAAACGGTCAAGAAAAAATTGCCATTATTTCGCGTGTTTGTCCAAGGAATTTTGACATTTTTGATACGTCACAGCCTGTTGCCTCACTCTTTCCTCAAGAAATAATAGAACGGGCATATATTTCTGTTGCAAACCTGGGTTGCCTTGTGCTCTTTTTTCACAAAAAACTTTAGAAAACCGTAGTAAAAAGCGTAACAAATTTCTTAAGAACTGCGTACTGCCTGAAGGAAATTTGACTTAAGAAAATTTCTTAGCCATTTCTTGTACGTCATTTTGTATGGAATTTCAGCTTTTCTTGAGAACTGCATACAGGCCTTAAAAGCTAACCAACTCAAAACCACGTCGAAAGTCTGATACAACCCTGTGTTTTCCCACCATCTGTGGGTCATTAGCGTTAAAATTAAAAAAAAATCGTTCCCTACTAGTGTTCGGAGTTTACTAAGATCAGATAAGATTAACTCCGGTTTTTGGAAAAAATTTGAAATCTACTCCTCTACTCCGCTTGACTTCAATTCTATTCCGTTTTTTTTTCATTCATGTTATGCCCCTCTTGGGGCTGTTTTTTGAGTGTTCACCACCGGTTTCAGTAAAAAAATTGAAAGTTAGCCAAATCTCACTGTTAAAAAGTAACTCTTTCATAGCAATGCGTCAATAAAGTAACTTCGTTATTTCTTGATGTATGGCTGTAGAAATTGGCGGATGCAGAAGTTTTAAAAAAATATATGTAGAATGAATCTTGTATAAAGTAGAAAAGGTTTAGATCCTATTGCTCTTTAAAAAGTTAAGTGTTAGATGCGTTCTACTTAATAGAAAATGCTAAGAATTACCTAAATATGTAACATATCCTTACTTTGCCCGCGTTCTTATTTTTGCACGAATAGAAAATATTTAAGTCAAACAATTAATGTCAAAAACGAAAATAAAAAATTCAATCTAGTACGGAAAATTTGTTTTTGGTCCGATTTTTGCAGCGATTTAGACCTGAATCGAGTTTTTGAGGTCCGAACACTGTTCTCTACATTTGAACTGTTTTCTAAACCTCAAACCGCAGTGTGGACAGCAATAGTTAGTGATGTGGTTAAGTTCGATTTGAGATGGTTAGCTTTTTGGTGGGGACATGGTATTAGCTAACGATACGAATATTGTCGTTAAGAAAAATGGGAATCGCACTACAGATATTGAGTAACCGGCCCTAATACCATGTTCTGACCGACATCGAAAACATGTTTTCGTTGCTAAAACTGGTTTTCGACTTAAAAATTGTGTTTTCGTCCATGTAAAACATGATCTAACTACACAAGATCTGACAAGATGGACCAAAAGAAAAAAGTAAATTTCTGGCTGACGTTTGTAATTTCGGCGCCATGTTATTTTCTGTGAAAAACAAACAAAGAATATGAAGACGAAGCATAAAGAAAAACTGCAAGCAATGTTGTGCACATGTTTGTGCTAACCAATTTATTATTTATATACGTGTTTTTGCATTCAATCACCGCGCACTTCATTTTAATTACATTTGCACAAAAAATCACTGAAATAAATCACCGACAAAATACATATAAAAAAGAAGCAAAACAGAAATAGCAAACTTCAAAATTACGAACGTCACACTTTTCTCAATTGCTATTACAAATGGCTGCTTCTCAACCGGTCAGATCTGTTCTAATTGGTTCATGCATGTAAAATCTGTCAAACGAAAACCAGTTTTCGCTGAAAACTACTTGAAAACTCACGTTCCACCCATACCAATCGGTGTCTTCACTAGTTTTTCGATTATTTCTCGAAGTGGAAGTCATATTTTATCATTTTTAATACGCCATTTCGGATTTATTGTTAATTGGCTGGCAAAAGTAAAATAAGAATTAAAGTAAGAGGTTGCTAATGAAAAGAAAATGAGGGAAGAGCGTTTCAGTTTTGTTTTTGTGTAGCAAAACTGTAATCAGAGGATGTAAGAAATGTCAATGAAAACACTAATGCAGCGTTTTTGCTGCATTTAAAATGCAACATTTAGCACTTTCGAACATATGTTTTTGAAGAGCGTTCATGCTATAGCATTTAGCAAATGTACATTTACGCGAGTTCGAAATCCTATGCTTTTGACAAACAGCCGTGTTCCAGTCTCTTATTTAGATCCGTATATATTACGATCAATTCTCACGCAGAAGATAATGTGCAAAAACCCTACTGAAAAGGAAAAAATCAATTTTAAACCAAAAATTCAATACAAAAACTTGAATTGTTTTAACCATAACCGAACATTTGTTTGTGTATATATTCATTTGTCGGTGCTCTCAATTAAAATTTCCTCACTTAATTAGGAAACAAAACAAACGGAGTTGATCACCAATTGATCCAGATTTCTATTAGAATCACATCGATGTTGAATTTGCTTAACTTTTTTTTATCCAAATATGTAATGTAAAATAAAAGAAATCTCGATCGGCGATCACTGAAACGCAGCTAGCAACTGTTGCCACTTTTTCTCTTTAAACCATGTTCGAATCGTGGAAATTTTGGAAGATCACAGGGTTGCTTCTAGCATTTAGATTCTTAATGCAAGTTGCATTTAGGTGACGAATTTTGTATGGATAAATGTACATTTAGAGTAGCATTTAGAGCTAAATGTGCTTTTACGCGTAAGCAAAAACAGCCCATAACAGCCGGTGTGAACAGCCTTCAGCCCACAATCCCAAAACACGTTTTCAAAGTGTTTTCGTTGTCGGTCAGAACACGGTATAAGCCTGTTCCTGTATTTATTTTTAAAGAGATCCATTTCTGAAAATTTTCTTTTGGCAGCACTACTGTGCGGTAAAATAGCTAACGTCAGCATATACTCCGCCAAGTTGCTAAATATATACATTTCCAAAACAATTTTCTGGTCCTTAAGGGTGAATGGAAAAAAGTAAACAAATCTGAGCATATTTTAGGTCAAGTGGAGTAGGGAGTAGACTTTGAATTTAAAAAAGAAGTCGCGAGTACATCTAGTCCCATCGAAGAAAGGTCCGGACGCTGTTTTCGATACATCGGATAAAAGTCATCGGTTATTATCGCGCATTTCTAATTTACGCTATCAACTGATATGTCAAAATTTTGTCAAGTCGGACGTAACTTATTTGGCTAGTATTTTTCTGTGCAGTTTGTGAATAAAAGTAGAGAAATGGATTTATACGATGATATTGACACAAAACCCAGGGCTAGCCAAATCGACGGCTGGTCATCGGGAATTAAAATGCTTCAAACACAGTTGGCTATAAAGAAAGCGCAAGCTCCAAAGGAGCCACCCAAAAAACCGGTAAGCTTCCCAATTACTATAACAATATAAAGATGTATAGTGCTTAAACAAAATTGTATATTGATTAGTTAATGACACCAGTTGTAAATTTGCGTGCTAAAAAACCAGTATCCGATGTTGAAGTTAACAACGGCAACAACTCCATGCAGAAATTGGATATTCCAACAGTGGCAGCTAAAACAGTCATTACTGCCAAACCATTGGAGCCAGTAATTGAGAGTACAAAATCGGACGACTGTTGGGATTTCGTAGATGAATATGATCCAATGTGGCCCAACGAATATGAAAAGTTAAAAGATAAAAATCAAAACAAAGAAAAAGAACACAAAGGCGGTGGGGGCGGAGGAGGTGGTGGTCGAAGCAGTGAAAGAAAAAGAGGTCGTGGACGAAACAACGCACGTGATTCATCTCCACAAATTAAATTTTCTGGATTTGGACAACGTCAAACTGAGGAAGAGAGTTATAGCCCTCCCCCTCAAGGCTCTGTGTCAGGTAAAGGAGGTGCTGCGATTGCACCACCGCCTTCCCTTCAAGAAATCTCTATAAATAATGAAAATGGCGACGGTTCATCGAATGTAACCATTCCCTACTCGGCAAGCTCGGTCGCTGCCAAGATTATGGCAAAATACGGCTTTAAAGATGGCCAGGGATTGGGAAAACAAGAGCAGGGTATGTCCATGGCTTTACAGGTGGAAAAGACTTCGAAGCGTGGTGGTCGCATAATACATGAAAAAGATGTATTTTTGCCACCTCCACCAGCACCTAACAGTCCACCTGCAAGTATGGCACCACCGGCAGTACCAGCGGTAGCTACCCCTAGTCTAACACTAGCACAAGCTGCTGCTGAAGTACAAGCGTCCGAACCAAGCATTACCGAAATTATGAAAGAACCTAGTAAAGTGGTTTTATTAAGGGTAACTTCAGTGCTTTTCGATCATAAGATAATCATATTGAATTTTAATATCACTTTAATGGTAGAATATGGTCGGCCCAGGGGATGTTGACGAAGATTTAGAGCCAGAGGTTAAAGATGAATGCAATACCAAATACGGCGATGTCGCAAATGTCATAATACACGAAGCTTTTGGGACAACACCAGAAGAAGCCGTCAAAATATTTGTGGAGTTTAAGCGTATTGAAAGCGCTATCAAAGGTAAATGTAAAAAAAAAAACTTTCACTTAAAACCTTACAAAATATTTTTGTCTATTTGTTTTCTAGCGGTTGTTGATTTAAACGGCCGTTTCTTTGGTGGACGTCAAGTGCGCGCTGGTTTCTACAATTTTGATAAATTTAAAAGTTTTCAACTACATTAAAGTGACGAATGTTTTAGTTTTTGTCATAAGTATTTTTTTTTTTTTTGTAAAATGCTACAACATATATTTTTAAGTAAATGTAAAAAGAAGTAATACTGTGGTATTATTTAATTAACTAAAAATGATACTGTGTTAGGATTGTATAGTTTGAAAGACATTCCCTTGTTACTATTATGGCTTAATTTGCATGTAATTTTTTGGGATCCTGTTAATTAGAATTATGGATCACTTTTTCTTACTTGCAGATCTGCTATCGCTTGGTCGGGGTCACAGGTGAATGAAATGGTGATGGCATATCTTGAAAAAAGGTTTTATTTTCATGAAATCATTTTTTAAACTACTTTAGTATTGGAAGTACCTTTCTCCTTCAGTGACTTGCTCAACATGATGCATGTTCTCAGCGCCTGAAGTGAATGCGCTAACGCGCGTCTTTTTTGGCTCAATCGATGACTTAGTAAGGTTTCCGTTTACACCGTCAATAAAAACGAATCTACCACCTCTAAAATCTTTCTGATATGTGTTTAAGTAGAGTAATGACGTATAATGAAATGATTCATACGTGTCCTATAGTTGGAAGTGGCCAAAATATATGCTTAGAAAGAAGTATGTTTTATTTTTAATTTAAGACACAAATGTCACTTACTTTATCCACATGTTCATGCCAGTATTCATCATTCATTGTTCTAGCAGTAGCATTTGTTAAACGTGAAAAAAACGTGGGATCGGTGAGATAAAGACTATCGGCGGATATTTCGAATTGCTCTGCAATAGCGATTTTGATTTTGTTTTTAACGGCCTAGAATAACCAAAAACAGATCTAAAAGGCAAGCACAAATTTTTTTAACTATGTAATTTTTTCTTACGTTATATACTGATAAGTGATGTTCTCGTAATTCCGCGACTACTTTCGGCACGAGATATGCGTTTACAAACTGTTCCTTATAAGAAAGTGCACCCGTGTGTAAATTCAAAATTGATGCACCCCCTGATGAACCCCCCATTGAAATTATGGTGCGAGCTAAACTTAAAAGTGTTTCCGCTTCATTTACTTGTACCAATTGATCGCTAACGAAGCGCCCACACTTCCTTGGCACACAGTTCCGAAATTGGCGTATTTCTGCTTTATAGCTTTTTGAACATTCAAATTTCTGTGCACGCAACTGTAGTTCCTCATTTACCGAAGCAAATTTAGTTTCCTTGTGATTTTGTTGAGCATAGAAGTAAATGACAATAACAACAGAAGTCGCTACCACAGCCCGAGTCCACAAGCGATGTGTAGGAGCGCTCGTAGCCTGCAGTAACTCTGCACTAATAGTTGATCTTATTGCAAAATGGAAAATCAATGAACAGGTTTANCTCCGGACTAAATCCTGTAACTTCTGACTAGGAACAGTTGCTCAGTTACTCTCTCAAATGTGTTCCCACTTACAGGTTTTATGTCAATAGGAACGACTTCCTGTAAGTTCTGACTAAATCCTGTAAACCGGACTGCTATTGGAACAGACTAACTATATACAAGGTGGTGTTACTGGAGAATTTAGATTTTCGCCGCGGGCCTTCTGAATGTCAAAATGATGTGTTTGTTGTAAACAAGGCGAATTCATATTACAACAAACATCATTTTGACATTAAAATTACCGCGGCGAAAATCTAAATTCGCCAGTAACACCACCAATGCGAATTTATACAAGGTGGTGTTGTACAATCAGCTGATTTCTTCGCCTTACATATATTTTGTTTTTGCTTTTACTGATTTAACAGCACACCCATCAAAAGCAAAAGCAAAATACATGGAAACTTTGGAGCGAATTGAGATTTGACACAACACCCTCCATACAAAATACATGTGGTTGTCGTTCTTGTAATCTAAATTCGCCAGTAACATCACCTTGTATAAATTCGCCTTGATGTAAACTTTTTTATAGCAGAAATAGTGGTGGCTACCCTATGTATCATACGGAAAACAGCTGATGATAACAAATAACTTGGACATATCCCATTGTGAAAATAGGAGTTTGGTCAATGGTACATTTTTTCAAATCTTTGTAAACAAAACTAAGTAAAAATAAAGGTAAAGATGTCACGATTTAGTGGAGCCTTACAGTTAACTGATCTAGACGACTTCATCACTCCGTCACAGGTAAGCCTTTCACATAAAAATATATTATGTAGCCAGTTTTAATGAGTAAAATTACGATGATAGGAATGCATCAAACCAGTGCCCATAGAAAAGACCAAGTCGAAGACTGGGGCTAAGATTACCATACAGGAAGATGGTTATTATGAAGAAACCGTGGTATGTTAAATAAATTAAACAAAAAATATTTAAAAAATGATTTCATCTATGCCCACAGACAGGTAAGCAAAAACTCCAAAAAGTGGAAATAACACTTCAGGATTGTTTGGCTTGTTCTGGTTGTATCACATCGGCCGAAGGTGTACTTATCACACAACAAAGTCAAGAGGAACTATTGAGAGTTCTACGTGAAAATGTTGCATTAAAACGTCGCAATACCAAAGAGAGTATACGTACAATTATTGTAACTATTTCGCCTCAGCCCGTCATTAGTTTAGCTCAGCGCTACGACTTAACGCCGGAAGAAGCTGCGAAGCATTTAAGTGGCTATTTTAGGTCTCTTGGAGCAGATTATGTATTGAATACAAAAATTGCCGATGATTTAGCGTTACTCGAATGTCGCAACGAATTTGTGGAACGCTTTCGCGAGGCGACAGCTTCCGATGCGGCTGATGAGCAACTTTTACCGATGCTTTCTTCGTCATGCCCAGGTTGGGTTTGTTATGCGGAGAAGACACATGGTAATTTCATTTTGCCTTTCATTGCCACGACGCGTTCGCCGCAGCAGATAATGGGAGTTCTGGCAAAGCAATGGATGGCGCAAAAATTAGGCGTACCATCTGAACGTATTTATCATGTGACGGTAATGCCATGCTATGACAAGAAGTTAGAAGCTTCGCGAGAAGATTTTTTTAACGAAACTAATAACTCTCGAGATGTCGATTGCGTAATTACTTCAAGTAAGTGAACCGATTTAAAAAATACGATAACGAGAGCCGCAGGGGCGGTAATCATGAGTAAATTAATTTAAAGCAGCATTTAATCATTATTTTATGATTTTTATTTTTCGCTTGAAAATTATTCAGCCTTATCACGAGTGTCATTTTCCCCGCACCGGTTCACTTTTCTTTTGTTTGTTTCCGTGCATTTACTATGGGCGGTTGAACAATTTTCGGGTGATATTTTTTCGGACGAAACTATGAGCAAATATACACCGCACCTCATATATTATTCGAACCACCCAGGCTACTATTCGCAAAACAGGACAGAAACTCTGCAACTACCATAAAAAATGGAATGAGTTTTACCTACCTGCGAATCCAGGCCATAGATAATCAAGAAGATGTGAGCAGCTGACTCCTACTTACCTGAGGATGTACACACAGAACACCAACTACTGGTTGAATTAAAGAATATAATCTGCGGAGACGTACCTATCTAAGAACCAACGAAGATTTAGCACGGCTAACAGAAACTATTCAGAACGAACAATGACACTGAAGATGGCACAACGCCGAAACCAGTTTGTCTCCAAACCAAATTTGACAAGGGATGGCGGAAAATCGTTCCACATTACATCGAAATAATTATTTGAATAAAATTTTTTGCGATCACAAATAGATAAGATTATTTTTATTTTTTCGCTAAGAAATAATCTGCCTTATTCCGAGCTTCACCAAAAAAGAAAAATTCTCCCGAAAATTTGTATTCCGCCCATATTAAATTTATTTATTTATTTATTTATTACAGTCATTTGACCTATATACATTCACGTATATACATTTGAATTATGTATTGCAATATAAAATAAAAGTAAAGTTAAATTTAATGCTTAAAATAAGTTAACCTGTTACACTTTTCCTTCTAAGCTACATAATAGTATGTATATTTAACTAAGATAGCATATTCTCGATGCTGTTGGAATGGACGGGATTCCAAGCAGTACCGTAAATATATCACGTACGATATGCGGTCTAAGAGTGTAATTTCCAAGCCGCTTCTTATAAACTTCTCTACCGGCAGCCGATCTGAATGGATGAAATCCAGAGTCGCGCTATTTGATCGGACGGAAAGGACTAGCTTCCATGCCGGACTTTCTATCTGATAGCCAATGTTCTACAGTGATCAAGTAGCAGCCTTTTGAAGGTACCAACGTTTTCACAGTTTTGTATTTGAGCTGGAAGTTCATTATAACATTTTGATCCCTTATAAAAGATATTCTTCTTATCTATTTCCGTTTTATACAGCGGCAGCCTGAAGCTATTATTTCCCCTGAGTAAATACGAATGGGTTTCACTATTATATCGTAGGATATCACATTTTTTTTGTTTTATGTTAAACACGAATTTCATAGCGTGATAGAAAATTTGCTGTTTCACGCTCAGCCATTTTAATTCTGCGATCATTTCCTGTATGGGTGTGTCGTACCGCTTGTTCAAGATAAATCGCATAGCCCTATGCTAAAATAATGATTATTAATAAAATTGAAAACGCCATACAGACCCAAGATACTGAAATTTTTTCCTGCAAATTTTGGGATTTATTGTTGTTGTTGTAGCTACTACTTAACCCCGCTCGGGTCGGTTCATCCAACTACGTTGTCGTCTGTTTCAGCCCAGGAAGTGCGCAACTTCGACAGGATCTGTCCCTAGGGACAGGGGCGTTAGCTGTGTGAGGTTCTGGGGGCATGCGAAGAGGTGCCGTGAGTCATGTGGCGACACTCCGCATTCCGGGCATTGTTTGAGCACATCCTAGTTTATTCTGCTCAGGTATGAGTTAAGCCTACTGCAATAGCCAGAGCGAAGTTGGGCTATTGTGGTGCGGGTCGGCGAAATCCATTAAACGTTATNTTTGACCTATATACATTCACGTATATACATTTGAATTATGTATTGCAATATAAAATAAAAGTAAAGTTAAATTTAATGCTTAAAATAAGTTAACCTGTTACACTTTTCCTTCTAAGCTACATAATAGTATGTATATATAACTATGATAGCATATTCTCGATGCTGTTGGAATGGACGGGATTCCAAGCAGTACCGTAAATATATCACGTACGATATGCGGTCTAAGAGTGTAATTTCCAAGCCGCTTCTTATAAACTTCTCTACCGGCAGCCGATCTGAATGGATGAAATCCAGAGTCGCGCTATTTGATCGGACGGAAAGGACTAGCTTCCATGCCGGACTTTCTATCTGATAGCCAATGTTCTACAGTGATCAAGTAGCAGCCTTTTGAAGGTACCAACGTTTTCACAGTTTTGTATTTGAGCTGGAAGTTCATTATAACATTTTGATCCCTTATAAAAGATATTCTTCTTATCTATTTCCGTTTTATACAGCGGCAGCCTGAAGCTATTATTTCCCCTGAGTAAATACGAATGGGTTTCACTATTATATCGTAGGATATCACATTTTTTTTGTTTTATGTTAAACACGAATTTCATAGCGTGATAGAAAATTTGCTGTTTCACGCTCAGCCATTTTAATTCTGCGATCATTTCCTGTATGGGTGTGTCGTACCGCTTGTTCAAGATAAATCGCATAGCCCTATGCTAAAATAATGATTATTAATAAAATTGAAAACGCCATACAGACCCAAGATACTGAAATTTTTTCCTGCAAATTTTGGGATTTATTGTTGTTGTTGTAGCTACTACTTAACCCCGCTCGGGTCGGTTCATCCAACTACGTTGTCGTCTGTTTCAGCCCAGGAAGTGCGCAACTTCGACAGGATCTGTCCCTAGGGACAGGGGCGTTAGCTGTGTGAGGTTCTGGGGGCATGCGAAGAGGTGCCGTGAGTCATGTGGCGACACTCCGCATTCCGGGCATTGTTTGAGCACATCCTAGTTTATTCTGCTCAGGTATGAGTTAAGCCTACTGCAATAGCCAGAGCGAAGTTGGGCTATTGTGGTGCGGGTCGGCGAAATCCATTAAACGTTATATAGGGTGAAAAGGATACGTCGAAAATCACGGAGGTATAGCTTTTGAGTTTTTTGTATGATCATTATTCTGAAGTGAAAAAATAAAACTGNCTGATAGCCAATGTTCTACAGTGATCAAGTAGCAGCCTTTTGAAGGTACCAACGTTTTCACAGTTTTGTATTTGAGCTGGAAGTTCATTATAACATTTTGATCCCTTATAAAAGATATTCTTCTTATCTATTTCCGTTTTATACAGCGGCAGCCTGAAGCTATTATTTCCCCTGAGTAAATACGAATGGGTTTCACTATTATATCGTAGGATATCACATTTTTTTTGTTTTATGTTAAACACGAATTTCATAGCGTGATAGAAAATTTGCTGTTTCACGCTCAGCCATTTTAATTCTGCGATCATTTCCTGTATGGGTGTGTCGTACCGCTTGTTCAAGATAAATCGCATAGCCCTATGCTAAAATAATGATTATTAATAAAATTGAAAACGCCATACAGACCCAAGATACTGAAGTTTTTTCCTGCAAATTTTGGGATTTATTGTTGTTGTTGTAGCTACTACTTAACCCCGCTCGGGTCGGTTCATCCAACTACGTTGTCGTCTGTTTCAGCCCAGGAAGTGCGCAACTTCGACAGGATCTGTCCCTAGGGACAGGGGCGTTAGCTGTGTGAGGTTCTGGGGGCATGCGAAGAGGTGCCGTGAGTCATGTGGCGACACTCCGCATTCCGGGCATTGTTTGAGCACATCCTAGTTTATTCTGCTCAGGTATGAGTTAAGCCTACTGCAATAGCCAGAGCGAAGTTGGGCTATTGTGGTGCGGGTCGGCGAAATCCATTAAACGTTATATAGGGTGAAAAGGATACGTCGAAAATCACGGAGGTATAGCTTTTGAGTCTTTTGTATGATCATTATTCTGAAGTGAAAAAATAAAAGTCAATCAGCCTTATCATGAGTTTCACTTTAGCTTTTGGTTTCCATGGTTTTACTATGGGCGGATGACAAATTTTCGGGTGATTTTTTTTTTTCAGGTGAAACTTAGGATAGGCTGCTTGGTTTTACTATTCTAACTAACTTTCGTGTGATTTTTTTTTTCGGGCGAAACTCAGGAGAAGGCAGATTATCGTTAAGCGAAAAAGNTAACTAACTTTCGTGTGATTTTTTTTTTCAGGCGAAACTCAGGAGAAGGCAAAAAATAAAAGTCATACAATAATCATTATTTTTGATCGAAAAAATAAAAATCAAGTAATAATCAGCCTCATCATGAGTTTAATTTTCCCCGAGCCGGTTCCCTTTCACTTTTGGTTTCCATGTATTTACTATGGGCGAATGAAAATTTTTTAGGTCACCTTTTTTTTGGGCGAAACTCAGGATAAGGCAGAATAATTTTTTTTTTAATAAAAGTAAAAATAAAATTTTATTATTTTTAATCTTTATTGATTAAACTGGAAAAATAAAAACCATTTTAAATTACAGAAGGACGTCAAACACAAGCACGGGAGTATCGTTAAAATTGTTTTACGACGATTTCAACTTGTTGATTTTTTTGGTTAAAGGGCTATCTTGAGGTTTCAAGAAAAAACGAAAAACTGATAAAATTACGCACAAGAAATGGAAGATACATTTTCTTCTATAAAAATTTCTTAAATCATACGTATTTCATATGTATTTCTTCAAAAAAAATNAACTGGAAAAATAAAAACCATTTTAAATTACAGAAGGACGTCAAACACAAACACGGGAGTATCGTTAAAATTGTTTTACGACGATTTCAACTTGTTGATTTTTTTGGTTGAAGGGCTATCTTGAGCTTTCAAGAAAAAACGAAAAACTGATATAAAATTACGCACAAGAAATGGAAAATACATTTTCTTCTATAAAACTTTCTTAAATCATACGTATTTCATATGTATTTCTTCAAAAAAAAATTACAGCAAAAACAAAGTACTTTTACAAGCAACAGAAATAATGAAAAATATTTCTTGTGATTTTTCTACAGAGCTTATCGACCAAAATTTCACCCGAAAATTTTTAATACAGTTAAACCAAAAGTGAAAAGTGAACAGGCTCGGGGAAAATGAAACTCATGATATGGCTGAATGATTATTTTCCGTCCCTGCTTTTGAGAAAGTTATTTATAATAATATACAGGTGCAGTTTAGAGCACAAACCAATATCAAAAAAGTGAAGATAATTTTAAATTTCTTAGTCGAAAGTATATTTAATGAATTTTTCATCCTATCCACTTTAAGTCGAAATAGAACAAATGCTCACGATTGATGACAAACCATTGAATACATTTTCACCATGTGAAATGGATTGGCCATGGAGTACCCGTTGTCCAGAAGCTGCAGTTTGGGCGCATGAGTACTCCACTTCTGGCGGATATGCAGACCATATATTTAAATATGCTGCAAAAGAATTGTTTACAAAAGATGTTGAAAAATTGGAATATAAAAATCTGAGGTAAGGTGGAGAATTTTATGTAGTACATAAATATGCAAACATACTTTTATAATCATTAAATATGCCAGGAATCCGGATTTCCGTGAAATAACATTGGAATATGGCGGCCAAACCTTGCTTAAATTTGCGATTGCTAATGGTTTTCGGAACATACAAAATTTGGTACAAAAACTGAAACGTGGTAAAACTCCATATCACTTTGTGGAAGTTATGGCTTGCCCATCAGGTTAATTTCATATATCATATCATATTGTATATTATAAAAAATAATTTCCTCAATTTTAGGATGTATAAATGGCGGTGCCCAAGTACGACCACCTGTAGGGATTTCTGTACATGAGATGAATCAACAATTAGAGGAACTTTATAAGCAATTGCCGAAATCGATACCAGAAAATGAAGATACTAAGCTTATTTATAATAAATTTTTCGACGGTGCGCACAGCGATAAAGCAAAAATGTTGCTGCATACCGGTTACCATGCGGTGGAGAAAATGAATACAGCGCTTAATATTAAATGGTAAATGCTATTTGAGACACGAAAATTTTATATTGAATTTACAAATGAAAAATGAAATAAAAAATTTTAAGCGCACTAAAATAAATCAGAAATACTTTGTTTCGCCTAAATTATATAAGCAGTTTTACCCATACAAAAAAAAAAAACACTCCTAGCGCATGTGCTTTAATGTTTTGTATTAACGGAGTTTAAAAAAAGTTGTAAATGTTTTTGTTCCCATATGGCTGCATCTTTACTGCTTCAGTATATGCATATGTATTAGAAATGGCAGATCGAAATAAAAAAATCGATTTTTGAGTCGATTCGAATCAAAATAAAAATAATCGATGTAGGCAGAAATCGTCAAAAAATAAATCGATCTCCCAATATAATTTAGTTACCTAAAAATGCCTTTTACTACATTTTCTTGAAGAAATAAAATACGGCCTACTGACCAACACTGAAACTACAAACATTATTGTAAGTATATTATTTTGGAACATGCATTGCTATAACGGTTTCAATACCTAGAGTTATCCAAAATCTATCAGTTAACGATCGGATCTAAACGAAAGTAGTAAGGGACCACCTCTGATATACTCCCTTTCCTTTAAAAAATTATCGAAATCGGTTAATGTGGTCCAAAGTTATGCGGTAACATACATATCGCAAACGTTGCCCGAATTCTGAAATTTAACTAAAACGTTGTTTTATTACAGTTATTAAATGAAAAATATTTTTTATTTCTCCGATATGGGTTATAACACAACGTTTATTTTTTTACGTTGCTTGATAACAGTTATTATCCAACGTCTATTTTTTAAGTTGTTTGATAATCGTTGTAAGATAAGAATACTGATGAAGACGGAGATGGAGAAGAAGACAAAGAAGATGAATATAAAAGAGGAGGAGCGAAATAACTGTTAAACGTTGGGAAATACCCCGCATTGGCGACGGAAAACATATTTCCCCTACATAACAGTTATCAGGCAACGTAAAAAGTAAGCGTTGGGTTATATGTATGTAACTCTCATCGGCGAAATAAAAAATATTTCTCATCTAGTAACTGTTATGGAACAACGTTTTTCCGATAAAACTTATGTCCCTGAAAAAAAAAGATCCGACGAATTGATAACCTCCTCCTTTTTTGAAGTCGGTTAAAAAAAATAGATAACTGAAAGAACCCGATACATATTTATTCCAATCCACTTTTACCTGTTACTAGTATTTGGGAACGCGGTTTCCAGTGCTAAAACTTATATTTCTGGCTTACGTATGTACATACATATGTGTGTATATATGTATGCATGTCCCGTACAATAAGTATTAATATGTACATAGATAGAATGTTAGAGACTGTGCACTGCGACCTTAGGTCTATTGTGCCCTAATATGTACATACCCTGCAAACCATTTTTTCAGAGTATTCTGCATGGTAAAGAAATTTTAAAGAATTCGTTAAGATTTAATTCGATTTTTTGCCGAACTTTCTAAAATAAAATAAATTACGCACACTTCCATTCTTTTACGAAATTTCGGAAGAAAATCTGTGAAGCAACGAAAATAATGGTGCTATGTGAAGAATATCATCTTTCAGAATTTTTCCAGAATTTTCTTTATTTTTCGTACAGAAATTTCTTTACCACTTCATATAATTTTCTTTGAAAATTCGTAAAAAATCGTTACAGAAATGAGATACTCCAAACGATTTCCTTAAGATTTCGGGTACTTTGGTTTGCAGGGTATGTACGTACACATGTACAAAGTAAATATAGAAAGGTGTACCATAAAAGGACGTTAATGTAGCACAGTGTACGAAGAAAATGAAATAATAGTTGTCGGCTTTCTAATGGGCAAAGAAAAATGACAGTAGAAAGGTCAAGAATTTTGACATATCTACAATTGCAGGACGNGAGTTTAAAAAAAGTTGTAAATGTTTTTGTTCCCATATGGCTGCATCTTTACTGCTTCAGTATATGCATATGTATTAGAAATGGCAGATCGAAATAAAAAAATCGATTTTTGAGTCGATTCGAATCAAAATAAAAATAATCGATGTAGGCAGAAATCGTCAAAAAATAAATCGATCTCCCAATATAATTTAGTTACCTAAAAATGCCTTTTACTACATTTTCTTGAAGAAATAAAATACGGCCTACTGACCAACACTGAAACTACAAACATTATTGTAAGTATATTATTTTGGAACATGCATTGCTATAACGGTTTCAATACCTAGAGTTATCCAAAATCTATCAGTTAACGATCGGATCTAAACGAAAGTAGTAAGGGACCACCTCAGATATACTCCCTTTCCTTTAAAAAATTATCGAAATCGGTTAATGTGGTCCAAAGTTATGCGGTAACATACATATCGCAAACGTTGCCCGAATTCTGAAATTTAACGAAAACGTTGTTTTATTACAGTTATTAAATGAAAAATATTTTTTATTTCTCCGATATGGGTTATAACACAACGTTTATTTTTTTACGTTGCTTGATAACAGTTATTATCCAACGTCTATTTTTTAAGTTGTTTGATAATCGTTGTAAGATAAGAATACTGATGAAGACGGAGATGGAGAAGAAGACAAAGAAGATGAATATAAAAGAGGAGGAGCGAAATAACTGTTAAACGTTGGGAAATACCCCGCATTGGCGACGGAAAACATATTTCCCCTACATAACAGTTATCAGGCAACGTAAAAAGTAAGCGTTGGGTTATATGTATGTAACTCTCATCGGCGAAATAAAAAATATTTCTCATCTAGTAACTGTTATGGAACAACGTTTTTCCGATAAAACTTATGTCCCTGAAAAAAAAAGATCCGACGAATTGATAACCTCCTCCTTTTTTGAAGTCGGTTAAAAAAAATAGATAACTGAAAGAACCCGATACATATTTATTCCAATCCACTTTTACCTGTTACTAGTATTTGGGAACGCGGTTTCCAGTGCTAAAACTTATATTTCTGGCTTACGTATGTACATACATATGTGTGTATATATGTATGCATGTCCCGTACAATAAGTATTAATATGTACATAGATAGAATGTTAGAGACTGTGCACTGCGACCTTAGGTCTATTGTGCCCTAATATGTACATACCCTGCAAACCATTTTTTCAGAGTATTCTGCATGGTAAAGAAATTTTAAAGAATTCGTTAAGATTTAATTCGATTTTTTGCCGAACTTTCTAAAATAAAATAAATTACGCACACTTCCATTCTTTTACGAAATTTCGGAAGAAAATCTGTGAAGCAACGAAAATAATGGTGCTATGTGAAGAATATCATCTTTCAGAATTTTTCCAGAATTTTCTTTATTTTTCGTACAGAAATTTCTTTACCACTTCATATAATTTTCTTTGAAAATTCGTAAAAAATCGTTACAGAAATGAGATACTCCAAACGATTTCCTTAAGATTTCGGGTACTTTGGTTTGCAGGGTATGTACGTACACATGTACAAAGTAAATATAGAAAGGTGTACCATAAAAGGACGTTAATGTAGCACAGTGTACGAAGAAAATGAAATAATAGTTGTCGGCTTTCTAATAGGCAAAGAAAAATGACAGTAGAAAGGTCAAGAATTTTGACATATCTACAATTGCAGGACGAACGCGTGTGCTGAGGTTTAGTGAAATTCACACCTTTGCGGTAAAAAATTTAAATTTCCAAAATTAATTACGAAAAATATAAAATACAAGTGAATACCTTGGGAGTAAAGCAAAAGAAAGCGGAAATAGAGTACAAATTGTTCGTGAGTTTAGCAGAATCCCTAAAAGTAGGCTGCAAAAAGCATACGTACATACATTGCGGAAAATCGAAACTAAATATCCGTAAATCGAATGATTGCTTAATATATATGTATTTGTTTTTCCTAACCCAGATGCTTTTAAGGAAAAAATTCGTTAGCAATACTAATATCCTCCGCAGCACTTCAGTGTTGATCCCAGGTGTCAGTTTTTACTAAGTAATTCTTTTGATTCAAAGCAATTTTTAGCTTCGAATAAACACTGCCTGTTTCACTGGACTCTCCTAATTATTAAGAATATAGAAGAAATTTATAAAATAAATCTAAAAATATATATTTATCGAGATACTCGTTTAAAAATTTGTCATGTAAACACGTACGCCCGTATGTATGTATTTCTTACATTTTCCAGGAAATATCGGTGAACGAGTTAATTCAAAGTGCGAGCCTAATCTAAAATTTTTCAACGGACCTGTATACATACTATAAAAGCTCAAGCAATTCCTCAAGACAGCTAGATAACCAAACCAAGTATGTCCGCAACTAATTCTTTTAATCACTCGTATGGTGCGCCGGCCGCTGCCACTGCCGCATCAACATCCATGATCCTACCACCCGCTGAAGGTGCAAAGCAGAAAGGCGGCACATCTGCTATGCGACGTCTGGATTCAGCTGCGCCCAACAAACGTAATATACCCGCAAATCAATATAGTTCGCAAAAGCAGCAGCAACGTGACGCCAACGCATCGCCGAAACGTCAATTGCAGGTTGCCCAACGGCACCAACAACAACACCAGCAGCAATATACCGATGCCATGCAAAGCGAAGATACTTTAGAGTATTTTATAAAGTTCCCAACAATGAACTATCGTAGCGATGCTATGGATAATGGGGATTCTGATTTCGTATTCGTTTATAACGATTCAAATGTTCCTATTGTTATGCTACTCGGTTGGGCTGGCTGTCAGGATAGATATTTAATGAAATACTCGAAAATCTATGAAGACCGGGGGTAAGTTCTTCAGGCAAATAATCGCCTCCATTAATTTGCATGAATAAAGTTTATTTCTTTTTAACTTAGTATTTTATATCATTCTAAGGATTTTTAACTATCTGATTTCCTAACATCCAATCCATAAACTTAATTTCCATTGTATGTACGTTTGTACAAACTGTAATAATCTGTANGTTTATTTCTTTTTAACTTAGTATTTTATATCATTCTAAGGATTTTTAACCATCTGATTTCCTAACATCCAATCCATAAACTTAATTTCCATTGTATGTACGTTTGTACAAACTGTAATAATCTGTAATTGTTATATTTTACAGTATGTATGTACTTATAATTGTCCTTATGTATATACATATATATGTATGAAATATGTCTTATTTTATGATTGGTACGCTTTACATGATATTTGTCCTTGACTTTTTTAGCTTAATAACCGTTCGCTATACAGCCCCAGTGGATACACTCTTTTGGAAACGTACCGCAATGGTGCCCATTGGCGAGAAAATATTAAAACTAATGTATGATATGAATTTCGACACTCATCCGGTGATTGTGCATATTTTCTCTAATGGGGGTGCTTACCTGTATCAACACATATCGCTAGCAATGCGTAAGCACAGGACTCCTATTCAAATACGTGGAATGATTTTTGATTCTGCTCCCGGTGAGCGTCGCGTTTTGGGCTTATATCGTGCCGTTGGAGCAATTTATGGCAAGGAGAGAAAGAAGTGTCATTGTATTACAGCTCTAATTATAACATTAACCTTGAGCATTATGTGGTTCGTTGAGGTGAGTGATTTAACAAGTATATTAACAATTTTTCGTGTTAAGTAAGACATTAAAGAAATGTACGCACAGGGAAAGTCATGCGATGCCAGTTTAACGAGAAAAAATTAATATATTTCTTTTTAACATCCGCTTTGATTTGACGTCGACCCGGATGTACACCGTTCACATACATATGATCGGTTCTACCGGATACTAAAAATTTTGTAATGTCGCCAAACGATGTGACAAAAGCTTGCTGCGTTTGAGTTCCAGCCGTAATCAAAATAAGGCTAAAAACATACTAGAGCTGCGAGCAAAACGTCGATGGAACCACGCATAATAAAGGGCAGAGCGGGCATACATCATCGACGCTTTGCTCTTCCCTTTGCTCAGCGCTCCAGACAGCGTTGCCGAATTGACGATTTCGTCGTCATTTTGACGTTTTTTTTTAGCTCAATGACGTTTTGGCGATTTTCCCCCGTAATTACGATTTTTTAATTTAGTTTTTCCACTAAATTACATATGTATGTATGTATGTAAAAAATTTGTTACAGGAAAACGTAATCCAAAATTAAACCATGCATTTATCTAGTTTTGTTCTACAATCGTGCTTTTAGTTATATTAAATTTGTTCCAGAATTGTAACCAAATCGTTAGTTTGCACTGCTGACACTGATTTGAAAGAGATAAAAAAGTAGGAGAGGGAATTTGTTCAGTCAAAATTATCTATCAGTTAACAGATGCTACCCAATAAAACTTTAGGTTTGAGCTCAACATGAGGTTAAGTTGAGAACTAAGGTATTTCTCAAATCTCCAATGTTGTTTCTCAACAGTACTCAAGTGGAGGATCATAGCGTTCTCAACAAAAAGGGCATTTTTCTTTTTATGAAAAAAGGACTGTTTCTCAAGTTGAGAAAAAAACTAGTTCTCAACTTGAACTCCAATGTAATTCTCCAATAGGTCTCAAATATATCATTGAAATACTGAAATTGGTTATTGGGTAATGTCACATTCAGGGTCTTCACATCCATTTTGGTAGTTTTGGTAAATTGCTGGTTGACACTTGGAAATTTTATCAACTGTGAATGTCCTTTTCAGTTTTCTTTTGTTAGTCTGGTAAACTGTGTTTATCAACAGCGGATTCGTAGCTTTTTTCCTAAAAAAAAAAAAAATTGTAGCATAAAATTTAAGGAATTGTATTTACTCATATCCGTTAAAACTGGATCAAAATCTTCAAAAATTTCAAACCAGTGGACTTCAACTATTTGTTATGCAATGTGGGTTCCATTTGGTTTTGTAATGTATAGTCATATTTTTTGGTCCGTATGCATAAAACCTAAGCAAATGTTTTTTTTTTTTTAATTTCAGACCTTTTACTAAATTTGTGCAAATAAATTTAAGTTTAAAGTATGCCATTTTAAGAAAACGCAATTGCTTAGTTGTTATGCATACGTAATGTATGTAATTCTTTTTTATTTTTTAATTTGTTAAAAAAATACAATAAACAAAAATTTGACGATTTTTTGGCCGAAATTACGATTTTTTTAGGGTAAAGTGACGATTTTCCAGCAAAGCTTTCGGCAACGCTGGCGCTTGACGACAGCAACAACAAAGGTGCGTCCATTCTTAGAGCAATATCAAGAATAGGAAATGCACACATGTATTTGGAGCTACATGTGCCGGAAGCAGTACTCTGACTATATTCCACCAAACTATTTTCGTGTTCCATTTTTTAGCATACCATACTAAAACTTTACACTTTAAAAAATTCTTTACTCAGGAGACTTTTGCCGCTTTTAAGAGCCTCTTTTTCAAAACTGAGCCGGCACAAACCAATCCGTTTAGTGATTTGAAAAATGAAGCAACCCAGTTTCCTCAATTGTTCGTATATTCGAAGGGAGATGTGGTCATACCACATCAGGTGCGTATTTTGAAAAATACAGCGGAATTATAATTTATTTATATTTCATTTTTCAGGATATTGAAAAATTTATTAAAGTTCGGCAAGAGCGCGGAGTAGATGTATCCGCTGCTTGTTTCGAAGATGCCGAACACGTGAAGATCTATACAAAATATCCGTCACAGTACATCCACTGCGTATGTTCATTTATAAATAATTGCTTGTCGCGGCCTTATAATGGTGGTATTGGTTTGGAGACGGCCACTAACAGTGGCTCACCTACTAGTTCGGTTCGTTCAGTGTTAGGTGCTACTTCATCTAAATACGATTGAATTAATTAAANTGGAGACGGCCACTAACAGTGGCTCACCTACTAGTTCGGTTCGTTCAGTGCTAGGTCCTACTTCATCTAAATATGATTGAATTAATTAAATGTTATTTAAATATTTGTCAGGAATATGCAAGTATGTACATACACATATGTACACATACATAAGTATATATGTTTAATACCAAATTTTGAACGTCTTTTAATATTACGTGAATTTGGTCGAGAGTAGCATTTGGAAGTATGGTGTGCGTGTGAGCCGCTTATAACTTTAGCAATACTTAAGCATTGTAACTGCACAATATCAAATATAATATGCGTTAGTTTAATACTACTTCGAAGACCTATTAAAACTTGACACTTTACAATAAAATATTTTTGTTATATTTGCTTAATTCTATGCTTTAAACATGAAAGCGAACAATTAGAGACTTTGGGTTTTATGTATGTAGACGTTCAATATGTGATACTGTTGGCAGATATTAAAGGATGTATAAAAATGTAAAAGATTCATTTTATGAAAGATTTTAGATCGTTTTAACACAAGTTTGTGAATGAAATATTTTCCTACTTACAAGAAAATATGCATTAAATAGCTAAAACATATGTATATATGGCTTTAAGTAGTGAACGAATTTAAATAAATGTCGACTCTTGAAAAAGTTATCTTGTGTTGTCATTACACGGTTGGTGCTAGAAGTGGCAATGAAATGAAATAATTTACCTATAGGTATATTCCATGATTCAATAATACTGAATCATGGGTATATTCTACACTGGCAAACTTTTCGTAACCGTTTTTTAATAAAGTTATCGTGAATTTTTAACCCNTTCGAAGACCTATTAAAACTTGACACTTTACAATAAAATATTTTTGTTATATTTGCTTAATTCTATGCTTTAAACATGAAAGCGAACAATTAGAGACTTTGGGTTTTATGTATGTAGACGTTCAATATGTGATACTGTTGGCAGATATTAAAGGATGTATAAAAATGTAAAAGATTCATTTTATGAAAGATTTTAGATCGTTTTAACACAAGTTTGTGAATGAAATATTTTCCTACTTACAAGAAAATATGCATTAAATAGCTAAAACATATGTATATATGGCTTTAAGTAGTGAACGAATTTAAATAAATGTCGACTCTTGAAAAAGTTATCTTGTGTTGTCATTACACGGTTGGTGCTAGAAGTGGCAATGAAATGAAATAATTTACCTATAGGTATATTCTACACTGGCAAACTTTTCGTAACCGTTTTTTAATAAAGTTATCGTGAATTTTTAACCCTTAAGCTGATGCCAGATAAAACTTTGTGGCTTTGCGTGACATTTATAACTTTGCCAGCAAAGCGCCAGACGCAAAAGGTATGCCACAATGAACGCCAAGAAAACAATGTTGTACCGCTTTTTTACTCATCAAAGTTGCTGTGGATTTTAATTATTTTGATTTAAAATTATCAGCAATGTAATTAAGTTTTATGTTTCTGCATGAAAACCCGAATTTGGACGAAACAAAATAAATATTAAACCGGCTGATTGTCAAAGCGCGCAAAAAGATGGGACTTGGCCATCTTTTCGCTTCGCGCTGCGGCTTCAACGATTTATGTGGCATGCTTTGTGCATTTTCATACAATTCATCTTATCTGTCAAAGCGAATCTGTCACGTAAAGCGAAGCACCAGCTTTACAATGTTATAAGCTGGTAACAACATATTGACCCATAGCTGAATTGCTTAATAAACTGATGGTTTCCAATAAACCCAGAATTTCAGTAGTAAAAATTGTTGGTAAAAAATTTCCGGTCACAAATGTTCGGGAACGTGCTAAAATAAAAAGCAAATCCTGTACAATAAGTTTGAACCAAAAATAAAATGTCGCCCACTAGTGTGTCATATATTCCAGATGTTTCATTCTTAATTTATTTCGCTTCTATAATACACCTCATTATTTTTCATTAACTTCTATAACCGGCGGATAGTAAACAAATATTTTATTAANCACTAGTGTGTCATATATTCCAGATGTTTCATTCTTAATTTATTTCGCTTATTATTTTTCATTAACTTCTATAACCGGCGGATAGTAAACAAATATTTTATTAAAAAAAATTACCAAATGGCNTTTAAAATTATCAGCAATGTAATTAAGTTTTATGTTTCTGCATGAAAACCCGAATTTGGACGAAACAAAATAAATATTAAACCGGCTGATTGTCAAAGCGCGCAAAAAGATGGGACTTGGCCATCTTTTCGCTTCGCGCTGCGGCTTCAACGATTTATGTGGCATGCTTTGTGCATTTTCATACAATTCATCTTATCTGTCAAAGCGAATCTGTCACGTAAAGCGAAGCACCAGCTTTACAATGTTATAAGCTGGTAACAACATATTGACCCATAGCTGAATTGCTTAATAAACTGATGGTTTCCAATAAACCCAGAATTTCAGTAGTAAAAATTGTTGGTAAAAAATTTCCGGTCACAAATGTTCGGGAACGTGCTAAAATAAAAAGCAAATCCTGTACAATAAGTTTGAACCAAAAATAAAATGTCGCCCACTAGTGTGTCATATATTCCAGATGTTTCATTCTTAATTTATTTCGCTTCTATAATACACCTCATTATTTTTCATTAACTTCTATAACCGGCGGATAGTAAACAAATATTTTATTAAAAAAAAAATTACCAAATGGCCAAACATCACCCAGACTTAATATTTTGTCGTAAGCAGCCAGGAGTCGGTGAGCACTTAAAAAACTACTATTTACGATCCTTCCTATTGCAACAAAAAATCCCGATGTTTCAGCCATTGGACGTTTGTGTGAAAAATGTGATGGCAAATGTGTTATTTGCGATTCCTATGTACGACCATGCACTTTAGTGCGGATTTGTGATGAATGCAATTATGGATCATACCAAGGACGCTGTGTTATCTGCGGTGGGCCTGGTGTTTCAGATGCATACTATTGTAAGGAATGCACAATACAGGAAAAAGATGTGAGTAGTCGTAAACATGTGTATTCCTTTATTAAATAAAACTGATTTCATATTTTACCTTAGCGCGATGGTTGTCCGAAAATTGTAAATCTTGGAAGCTCAAAAACAGATCTATTTTACGAAAGGAAAAAATACGGCTTCAAACAAAAGTATATGCAACCATTTAAATATCAGTCACTATACTTATCATATATAATATTTTCTCTAATTCCAGCTATTAAAACTTGGTTAGTCAGTATTTTATACCAATAGACTTGGCGTGTGAAGGTACGTATATGGAAAAGCAATACTGCAGTTTGTTACAGGCGGTCTACAATCTATGATTATACATACCAATGAAATTTTTTACACGATTGAATTTGTTCTAAATACTTTTATTCATAAATGTATATAATGGAAATAGATATAATTTACAAATCTAATTAATTATGCTTGTATAGCTTCGCTTCCTTCCAATGAATACTGCAAGCAAAGCTTGTCAAATTCAGACGACTTTTTTTCCAAATCGGATACAAGCTCACCCTTTGGATGAAATTGCTTCAATTGTTCCCAATAGCGAGCAATGGTTTCATGTGATTTTCCGGTCAAATGAGCCAACACCATCATGTTGATGAGAGTGTCGTAATCATTGTGCTTTTTGGTTAAAGCATCACGTAAAACAGCTTCGGCTTCTTCATATCGTTCCAATCCCAAATGAACTACTGCCTGCCCGTTTAAAAGCAACGGTGTAGGATTATGTTTTTCACAAAATTCTTGAAAGATGTGGAATGCGTCCTGCATCTGTTCGGTGCCAAGGCTTAGTGCAACCCAAGCTTGAGCCATTTGTGTCAATGTGGCGTCATCAGAAATTTCTTGCATTTTAGCTACCACCTGTTTAGCCAAATCAATGCGATTCAACCGTAACAGACACTGAACCCCTAAAGCCATTGACTCCAAATTTCTGGAGCCATGTAAAATCTTCAATGCATTTTCAAATTGCCCATCATAACAATACACAATGGCGGTGGCAATGTGCCAAATATTTGTATCGTCCTCCTCGCTGGCAACTTTATCTGTCAACTTTTCAAGTATGCTTTCAATTTTAGATGGTTGCTCGAAAGCATCATGCACGTAACGTAGTGCTAATAAAGCAGTGTTATTATTTTCCTTTATATCTGTAGCAATAAGGCGTCCAGAGTCGATAGCCAGGTATGAAAGATACATATACGAGAGGAGCTCCGTAGAAGCTGTGCCTTGCTCGGGTAGCACAAAATTAATGGAACCCATAAAGTTACCGATGTAGTACTCATTGCGTGCATAAAATAGCGTTGAATTAGTATCTTCTTCAGCTTGCAACGGCTTGCTCATTTTAGGGTAGTAATTTAATTGCAGACCTTTTAAAACTGGTATTTAATTAATTTGGTGTTTTCCTCCAAATGACGTGTATCAAAAACAATGTCAGTGTTTGTCAATTCTTTATCTTATTTTTCAGAGAACGTAAAGTAAATAAATTTACGTTCTATGCATACGTACTGCACCCTGTACTGTTCAGTTCAATTTATTTTTTTGGAAAAGTTGGTAAAGCAAGCAAGGCGATAGCGAGTTTTAATTATTTGAGAAACAACGGTATAAAATCGTTAACAAATAAGGAATTAATTAAAAAGTTTTCGTGCACGTGCATTGTTGGAAGTCCAGCTGTTTGTATAGGTGAGTAAACGCATCAAAATAGTTATGGAATATTGCAGGAAAGCAAAATTTTTCTTGTCATTTCAAATTTCCGGCCGCTGTGGTGTAGTGGTAAGCAGTGCGCGCGGTCGTCCCTCGGCAGACAATGGCAAACCTCGGAGTGTTTTTCTGCCATGAAAAAACAGCTTCTCATAAAAATACAATCGATTTGTGTGACAACATCAAGGCGCACGCCACAAGTAAGAGGAGAGGCTCGGCCAAACACTAACATATGTGTAAGCGCCAATCTATTATTATTATTATTATTTAAAATTTTCACCACCACCATTAGCCAACGATACATATAGCATGATACTACTCATGATCAGTGTTGCCGCGAATAATTTTTAGTGGTAGCCAAACCAACCATTTTTTCAGAGTATTCTGCATTGTAAAGAAATTTTAAAGAATTCGTTAAGATTTAATTCGATTTTTTGCCGAATTTTCTAAAATGAAATAAATTACGCACCTTTCCATTCTTTTACGAAATTTCGGAAGAAAATCTGTGAAGCAACGAAAATAATGCTGCTATGTGAAGAATATCTTTCAGAATTTTTCCAGAATTTTCTTTATTTTTCGTACAGAAATTTCTTTACGAGTTCGTGTCAACCCCTTCATATAATTTTCTTTGAAGATTCGTAAAAAATCGTTACAGAAATGAGATACTCCTAACGATTTCCTTAAGATTTCGGGAACTTTGGTTTGCAGGGGGGTTAGAAAAACAATGAACTCTGGAAAAAAAACTAATATATTATCCAACCAAAAACCTTTTTATGTAAAATGGGAAATACACGACACCAGCTTGCTGGCACCATCAAGTGATTGTACCATCAGGCTATAAGCATATGAATAACATACCAGTATGCTGGTACGATGTTTATTTCTTTAAAAATGGGGTCCAGAAAAGACCGAAATGATTACAGCTGAACTTTCATACTTTTTCTACAATTCTGTTAAACATTGTTTTTTTCAATTCACAGCTGAAATATTGTGAACTTTAATCTTCCACAAACACGGCTTTGACTCATATAGTGTAAGAAATTTTCGCCAAAATACTTTTTACTTCAAAAAATTAGCTAATTGCACCATTCACGACACCAGCATGCTGGTAGAATCATAAAATTTTCAAATCGTTTTTGACGTCGCACCAGCAGCTGGTACAATGAAACCACAAGAACATACACGGTCAATCGGCTGGCACCAACACTTGATGGCGCCAGCATGCTGGTATCATCTATGGGCCCTTTAACACATTAAGCATATTAAGGGTCGTAAACTTATCTATTTTAAAATATAGTTAAATCGTTAATAGATAAGTAAACGGCCCTAACACTTTTATAGTTTGTATAAAAATGTAAGGAACATACCGATGGCTGAGTGGAAGATCGACCTATCTCGGCAGCCAGTTCGAAAACATTCTATCTCAAAAAACTTTTCAAGAACGCCCTATTTCAGAATTCGTTTCAAAAACGCCCTATCTCAGCTGCCGATTCAAAAACGCCCTATATCAGCATATTTTCAATACATTTTGAAGTGAGATAGGGCGTTTTTGAACCGAATTTTGAGATAGGGTGTTTTTCAATAAAATTCTGAAATAGGGCGTTCTTGAAAAGTTTTCTGAGATAGAGCGTTTTCGAACTGGCAGCCGAGATAGGTCGATCTTCCACTCAGCCATCGATACAATACATATACACATATATGTACATCAGAGTGTTTCTTAGTTTAACAATTTATCTCTTACATAAATGAAAAAAAAAAGTTCAAATTAAGCACATACAAATTTTTGCATGTCAAGGATGAATATACATTTTCCAAAGGGTTAAAAAGGGCTAGGGGCAATTTTAAATTTGTGTAACCAAAAAAAGTATGTGTAGCTAAATCTAGCCACGAAAGGGCTAAAACGGCAACACTGCTCATGATACAAAAATTCAATGGTAAAACCGCTGAGAGGCAGCCTGAACATTTTTGAAGTTTGCTAACATTACAGAAATGTTTTCAAATTTTTAATCTCACACATACATACATTCTCACTTTCAGCCTCAAATAAAGCAAAATTGAATACTTTCTCAAGACTAATTCATATAAGGTGGTAGCGGTAGTACAAAAACCAAGGCGAATTTATACAAGGTGGTGTTAACAAACAAAACAAAAATTACAACAACAAATTATACGCACNCAAATTTTCACCACCACCATTAGCCAACGATACATATAGCATGATACTACTCATGATCAGTGTTGCCGCGAATAATTTTTAGTGGTAGCCAAATCCTTTAAGAAAGGCTAAAAATTGCTAAAAAAATTCGTTTTGGCTAAAAATGGTAGCTAAATTTTTTTACTTACATATACATATGTATACGTATACACACAAACATTTTCAATAAGTAATGGGTTAGAAAAACAATGAACTCTGGAAAAAAACTAATACATTATCCAANTTCCTAGTCAGAAGTTACAGGATTTAGTCCGGGGATTTTTTTCCTGTAAGTTCATGAAAAGTGTCTAACNATCAGGCTATAAGCATATGAATAACATACCAGTATGCTGGTACGATGTTTATTTCTTTAAAAATGGGGTCCAGAAAAGACCGAAATGATTAGAGCTGAACTTTCATACTTTTTCTACAATTCTGTTAAACATTGTTTTTTTCAATTCACAGCTGCNCCTGTAAGTGGGAACACATTTGAGAGAGTAACTGAGCAACTGTTCCTAGTCAGAAGTTACAGGATTTAGTCCGGGGATTTTTTTCCTGTAAGTTCATGAAAAGTGTCTAACGATTTGCATGTGCAAACAAAAACAGAAAGCGATGAAAGCAAAGAACCTTATATTTGTAAAATAATGGAAGTAAAAAACGAAATATTTGAATATGTATACAATTTAGTAATTAGTTAGTGATATTTCAGCCTAATCAGTGTTGTACAAGTGACATGTAAACAAACCGACTGACGTTTTTACGGGAAATAGTGCTTTTTGCGTTCCCGTGCTCTTCTGCATCTGTTCTCCTTTTACTCTCACTTGAGAGAGTAAAATTGTAGTTTGACAGNCCATTTCAGTTGCGATGTTGTTACGTATTTTTGCATTTCAGCTGACGATATATACACTTGTGGTCAGCTGATTTAAGTCAAGTGACGTTTTGACTGGTTTTGGGTATTTTTCTTTTGTTAATTTAATTACATTGCNCAGTTCCACAGGTTTTAGTCCGAAGTTCAAAGGAACAGACTAAAAATTAGAACAAACACATCATTTTGACAAAAGGTACAAGGNAAAAAAAAAAAAATCATTTTAAATTTTTTTTTAAGGTCTCCTTGAACTAGGCCGAAACTATTTGAGAATTTTTTCCAAATTTTCGTTATTTAACGAAATAACGAAGTTTTTAAACCTTTTGGACTTAGAAATTTTTTGAATAAAAAAAAACAAAACTGTGAAAAGAATTATTTTCCATTTTTTTGTAGAGATCTCCCTAAACTAAGTCGAAAGTCTGTATGATTTTTTCCGCATTTCCGATATTTATGGAAATAATTAAGTTTTTAATTATTTTCGACTTGGGATTTTTTTTTTTAATACTAAAAATCTGTAAACGTCGGCCTTTCCCAGCAATTAGTAAAAATCANTATAAAAGTCTAGCACTTTACCTAACCAGTGCCACATAAATCCACATTTTTCACGCACATTTCAGACTTCGTATAAAAATTATGAAAATTCAACAAACCTTAACAATTGCACCCAAAAATTTTTNCGATATTTATGGAAATAATTAAGTTTTTAATTATTTTCGACTTGGGATTTTTTTTTTTAATACTAAAAATCTGTAAACGTCGGCCTTTCCCAGCAATTAGTAAAAATCACGCTAATCTAAGACGAAACTATTTGAGAAATTTTTCAATATTTTCTATATATATGGAAATAATGCAGTTTTCAAATCTTTTCTAATAAAGTCGTGTAAGAAGTTGCCATTCGATGGGTGGCACCTTCGCTACTCATGTGCACATTTATCATTTTCTTCATCTACATATTCCCTTCACATTTGCCCTTATATAATTAAATAGTCTGTTCCTTTGAACTTCGGACTAAAACCTGTGGAACTGTCAAACTACAATTTTACTCTCTCAAATGAGAGTAAAAGGAGAACAGATGCAGAAGTGCATAGGAACGCAAAAAGCACTATTTCCTGTAAAAACTTCAGTCGGTTTGTTTACATGTCATTTGTACAACACTGATTTGGCTGAAATATCACTAACTGATTATTAAAATCAATACATATTCAAACATTTCGTTGTTTACTTCCATTTTTTTACAAATATAAGGTACTTTGCTTTCACCGCTGTTAGTTTTTGCTTGCACATGCAAATCAGCTGATCGTTTGACACTTTTCATGAACTTACAGGAAAAGAAACTCCGGACTAAATCCTGTAACTTCTGACTAGGAACAGTTGCTCAGTTACTCTCTCAAATGTGTTCCCACTTACAGGTTTTATGTCAATAGGAACGACTTCCTGTAAGTTCTGACTAAATCCTGTAAACCGGACTGCTATTGGAACAGACTAAA